AATAGATTTTGTTGTTGTAATTCTTCACGTCGTAATAATTCATGTTCTAATTGCATTCTTGTTTTGTTTTGATTATGGAATCAATCAATATCGACACGGCAGACATCAGCATTCATCAATGATTTTTGATTCGGATTTGACCAAATTTGATGAAAAAAAGATAAAGCAAAAAAAGAAAAGAAAATTAGAAAAATCTTAAGATTCATTGATGAATTCAATGAAAATGGAATTTTTTTAAATCAAAATCAAAAACAAAAAATAAACTAAATCCTGCCTGCTTGCCTGCCTGTTTTCGTTTGAATTTCAAATTTTTTTTCTTTCTTTTTTTACAATGATACGACGAAGATGATGATGAAGAAGAAGAAGATCCGGTGAGGCGAATCAAAATCAGAGAAAAAAAAAAGTTTATTGACTCGCCAAGATTCTCTCTTTACTTCTTTGAAATTGCAAAACAAAAAAAAAGTTTTGCTGAAAAACTAGAAAAAAAAATAAAATTCTAATTTTACGGAAAGAAAAAATCCGTGACTTGATCACGGATTTTCGTTATTTTTTTCACTGAAAACCAAAAAAAAAACAAACGAAAAAAAAGTTTTTTTTNGAAAGTTTTCTTAGTAAAAAATAAGAAAAATTTCTTCTTTGCATAATTATCATTTGCAGAGGCAGACCCAAGGAGAGGTGGCGGAACAGCGTGGAAAAGGACCTGGAACAACTTGGCCGACCACTTTCATCGAATATCCCGGATGACAGAGAACGGTGGAAAATTATTGTTGTAGAAGCAATGGCCCTAAATGGGCCGTTAAGCTTTTTGATTGATTGATTGATAATTATCATTTTGGAATCAAATAAGGATCAATGTGGAAATGTTTTAATCTCATTTTGGGGCTAGTAAATGAATAAAACAAACCTTTCGTATTCAATTTTTTTCTCTCGTATCATATTACGATATTGTTCACGTAATGAATCACGTTTCATTTCCAATGCTTTAATCAATGAACGAGATCCAATTGCCTGTTTCGTTTTCGTTGTATGTGTGTGTGTTTCATTGTCGTTTTGTCGATTGATATCATCATTGTGTGATATCGTTGGCATTGTCGGTGTCGTTATGCGATCCAAAAAATTGTCATTTTTTTCCAAAGGAAAAAACGAAACAAGAAAAAAAATAATAATAATAATTAATTATCCACAATCAAAAGGTCACATTCAAAAAAAAAAAAAATTACATGTAATTACATAATGACAAATTATAATCTGAAAATCCTCATTGATCATCACTGGGAAAAAAAGGGATGGAAAATGGAAAATTATAAAAATTTTTGGTTTCTTTTTTTTGTGCAGAAGGAAAAATACAGAAATGTTTAACCCTTTTTTTTCTCCTGTCTGGATTGAATCTTGAAAAAAATGAATGAATGAATGAATGAATGTGAAATGGACTATAATTAAGCTTGATAGACAAAAAACAATCTTTTAATAATAATAAAAAACATTACAAGTTTATAAGATTCTTATAAATTCAATAATATAAATTATTCTGTCTTATAAACAATAACCATATTGTAATTTTGATTTGGTTTGGTTTGTTACAAATAATAATAATAATTACAAATGATGTGTGAGAGAGAGAGAGGGAAACCATAATGCTAATTTTATTCACATTTTTTTTTGATTTGACAAACTAACTTTCTCTCTCAACTATATTGTGTTGATATCAATCATTTTATGACGTTTTTTTTTTTTGCATTTCATTATTTGTAACTAAGAAGATGAAATAAAGATTGACCTCTCACTCTCTATTCAAAGACAGAATATCAATTCAAGAAACAAAACCTCTTAAACATCGATATTTGGCGAGATATCGATATAAATAAATAATTGATCTATCGATCTTCCGATCTTATGGAAAAAACAAAAGTCAAAAGAATAAAAACAACAAACACACAATGTATATTACTTTACTTTGGATGTTTTACGTATATTCTGTATTTGTCTGATTTGATTGCCAAAAAATAAAAATTGTTCTCAAGTTTGTAAATCTTACTATAGTAGTAGGTTAATAGAGAGAAGAATTTTATAGTTTTTTTTTGTAATCAAAAATGTAATCAAAAATGGGAAAAAAATTGATGACAATCAATCAATTTGGGACGATTTTACGATTGATGATTTTTCGATTTACTTTTTATTTTACTTTATGTGTTTTTTGCATCATTTCTAACTTCTAGCAAAAATTTTACCCAAGAGACATCGGCAGTTGGCGTCCAAATATTCTTACCTTTATCTTTTCTTTTTCAATCATTTCGCCAACATTATTCAATGTTTGAACAAAATTTGAAACAATTTTTTTAAAATCATCATTTTCTACATTCAGAGGAGAGAATGAAATGGAAAAAATCAATTGAAACAAACAGTAAAACATAATTGAACAAACAAACATACTTTCCAAAAATAAATGAATCAATTCTAGTAATGTTTTTGATTTTTGCCATATTTCTGGTTGTATTAAACGTATTGTTTGATTATCATTATTATCAACATGAAATTGAAAATTATCATCATTGTTTTCACCATCGTTGGCCGCTGTTGTTGTTGTTGTTGAAAATGATGGAATCATAATCGATGATATTTTTTTTTTTTAAATGAATAAATAAATATCGATTGTGGATGATGATAAAAAAGAAACAAGAATCCGTATCGTATCGAATGTTATGTAATGTTTGTAATGTTGTTGTTGTTGTTGTTGTTGCTGGGAGTCATGTGTTTATGACAGATATACAGATCTAAAATAAAATAATCCATGGAAACCATCAGCCAGATCAACTGAATGATGATGATGATCATTGAAAACAAAACAAAACAAAACAAAATGTTCGAGTTTTTTTCCGTTGTTTATGTTGTTGTTGTTGTTGTCAAGACGATCCGGCGTCGTCGTTCAATATATATTATTTTTCATTTGTTTGTCTTGGATTCTGTTTCATTTCATATTTTTTTTAACAATAAGTTTTTTTTCTTCTATTTGGTCATTACACTATCAATGTGAAATATATTTGGCTGTTGTTCATTGTTGTATCCAATTCATTCTTGTCGTTTCTATTCTTCATTATTAAATCTTGAAATTTTTTGTAGATCTACAACAATAACAAGAAAAGAATTGGCTTCATCAAAATGGATTTTTTCCTATTTGCCAAAAAAAAAATGGCAAATAAAACAAGCAAGGAAATAGATTTGATGTTAGTGAGAGAGAATGAAGAAGAAGAAGAAGAAAATCTCTAATTTGATTCGATTTATTATCAAAAGTTTTTTTCTTTCTTTTTTCTTTGATAATGATGAAAAATGAAAATAAAAAATGTTTTTTTTTTCAAAAAATTTTTTAAAATAGTAATACTAACGCCATCTGGTATTTTTGTTTCTCAAATGATTTATTTATATTTCAAACAGATAGATGTCACTATAAAAAAACCATCTTTTTTCAAAAACAATTTTTTATTCATGGATTTTTTTTTTTAAATCTTTTTCTAATATTCAATTTGTATTTAGGATTATCATTCATTTTTTTTATTAATCAAAAAAAAAAATTTGTTAATTATTTATTTACACCAAAAAAATTTTTTTTCTTGGCTTAAACAATTTTTTTTTAACCATCTGAAAGTGCTTTAAACAATTGTTCAACAGTTGACCAATTATCCTGTTTTGACCATTCAATTGCTTTCGATTGATCTTTTGTTTTTAATGCTTTTAATAAATCGGTTATTGCATCACGTAATGATACTGTATCCATTGATGGTAAATAGATTAATAGATGAAAATCTAACATTGCTTGTAAAAATTGTTCTGGAAATTTAAATTGTCGCATATATTGAAATAGTGCTTGAAAATCTTGTAAATGTCCTTCAATCATACGATTTTCGATAGGAAAATGTCTAAATCCTTGAATCGGATTAAATGTATAGGTTTGTTCAATTGGTGCCGATACTGGAACATCAACCAATAAATATTCAATCGGTAATGGACGTGCAATTTTTGTTACTTCATTTCCATATTCATCATTTCCTTTGTAAAAAACATCCGGTACATAACGATCTTTATTTGATTCACGAACATAGGCTAACATTGGTACATTTGTAGGCAAGAGGCAATCATCACGTACTAATGCCATACATTGATTCGATACTTGATAAGCTTCAATATGAATTTGATTATTTCGATCACCAGTAACACAAACGGTAACAAATTTCGAACCAAAATAACCACTTTTTGATAATTTACATGGATTTGGATGACAATTTTGAAAAAAACCGGCCATAATACATTCTTGAGCTGTAAGAAAATATGAATCCGAACTACGAATATATTTTACAGTTCCTTTTTCTTGTGGTATAAGATCAGTGAATATCCAACCAATACGTTTGTAACCTAATTGTCCAGCTACCATATCAACATCTGAAAAATCTAATCTTTCCATATGAATTTTAATCAAATCACGTGTACTTTCTTGTGGTGGTTCATAAATAGCAACCACAACAGCTTTAATACCAAGTGGTACATCTTTATATGGTTCATAATAACCATACAAGAATCCCATACGTTGATTACCAGTTGTACGCCAATAATCTAAAAAATTTTCAACAATCGATGTATTTTCAAATGTAACATTATCAATATGACGATATGTTTGACTGTTTAATGTTATAGCACTTGGTTGACATTTGGTACAAATTCCTTCAGGCCATGCAGGATGTCCTTTGCAACCGGGTTTTATTTTACAACTAATATCTTCAAGTGAAACAAATTTACCTTTATCGGCACCACGTTTCAATTTACGTAGATATGAATGAAATGACATATGTTTAATATTATGTTCTTTCATATAAGATTCATCATATGGTTCAATTGGTGCACAATGAACACATTTAGCTTTTGGTCCATGTTGACATAGATTAGCATCCATTTTTCGTTCAATTAAACCATCACGTTTCATTAGAATAGTGTCAACTGAATCAATTTCTCCAGAAATTGATACATTAAATAATTTACTCAATGTTGCTGAATCATTACCATTCGATAATGAATTGTTAGCAGTAATTTTCAAATGAATTAGATCACCATGTTTAAGATTGAAATCCTGAAGAGATTTACGTTCATGCATCAATATTGACTGTGTAAATTGAGCATCTTTGTATAATTTAAATCCAAAAATATCATCAATATCGTAGGCTTTTTGTGCTTTATAATAAAGTTCCGATGTACTATCGTATGAATCACATTCAATACGTTTGTTACCATGAGGTGATTGTAGCCGAATAATCTGATTGAAAAAAAATTTTCAATTATTAGATTCAAAGCTAAAAAATGAATAAAGAAAAATTACCATTATGATCGTTCAAATTGGCCACAAATTATCGATAAAACAATCAAAAAAATCAACAACAAAAAAAAATTAAATCAAAATTCAGCGAAACAACAAAATTCACAAAACAAAAAAAAAACAAAAAACTATCGAATCATTGTGCCAGCTGAAAATGATAGCTTTCAAAGTCAAAATAGCTCTCAGCTATTTAAACTTAGTGTTCGATATTCTGACTCAGTGTTTTTTTTTTAATTTCATCAAACTTGTCAAAAATTGAATTTGTTGCAATAAAATTAGTCCCCTTTTTTTTATCTCAATTAAAAACAATGTCTTCATCCAATTCATCATCAAGTATTGGTGGTGGTGGTAATAACCTAATGAACCGTGCCGAAACAAGTACAACAACCGAAACTTATCATCATTCAAGTTTAGGACCAGTAAATATTACATCAT